GTATATGTTAAATGAAAAAAAAAAACGATCCAAAGTGCAGTTAAAATAACTTTTATTTCTCTTGTTGCTGTGGTAAAAGCTAAGGATGTTTTGGACTTTTCTGTTGTAAATAATATCTAAATAAATGAGTGGTTTAATGCTGTGCAGTCATCACAAACAATCAACACGGTGAAGTTTTAAAACGTTCTCTGTTCAGAAATCTTATTTTAGAAAATTCAGCATCGCCGTTCTGAGGCTTTCAATTTGAAACAGCTGCAGGAACTGAAAACAGATTAAAACTCTTCCTGCTGGTAAAATTATTATTATTATTCTAAAGTTAAAGTTGGGGCATCACATAAAATCTACATAATATTTCCATTAAATTTAATAGATTGGTTTATTTTATCTGTAGACATTTGTATTTATTCCATCTGAATCCACAAATTAATTCCTTGGAAAACTTTGCAGAAGTAAGTTTTTTTTGCTTGGCTAATTCTGGTAACCAGCGAAACTTATAATTTCATGAATTTCCGACTACAAATAAACTGGGGGAGCAGAAAAAGTCTGAGTGCTGCCAGCTGTCAACCATCTGCCGMTGTCTTTAATTTGCCTCAGACTTCTGTCAATCACTTCTCATTTAGCTTTCCCCGACACTCAGAGTTTTGTTCATTGATCTGCACGAGCTTTACATTTTTCCCACCATCTGCCTCCGTTTTCTGTAACAACAAACCCAAAAACATTTCTCTGAATTTATTAAAATAAAATGAAGAATTGTTTCCAAAACCAAGAAGGATTTAAAGCTAATGTTAGCTGTTTTTATTTAATAACAACTAATCTAAACTCTTCATGTAAAGGCTGTGATATCTGGGGAAATAAATGATTTCATGTGTTGAACTGAGCTCATTAAGTGGAGTTTTAATAAAGTGGAGCTGTATTAAAGCTATTACAGTCTAGTTTTTATCTGTGGATCGGTTTTCACGGCAGCTAAAAATACAAACACATCATGATCAAATTATCCCCACTGAGCAGCAAAAAGACCCCCAACTGAGAGACCAAACAGTCTGAGTGTCTTTTAAACACATTAAACTGAAGAAAACAAAAGAAAAAGTGGCGCTGCTTGAAGGAAATCGCATCACACGCCACCATGTTTCATTAAACTAATGATAAAAGGTGAATAAATGAGGCAGTAGAGGACCAGGCCCAGCAGAGAACCACTCGTCTGACACGTCAAACAGATCGAAACGTGTCACACTTACAGAAAATATGGCGAGACTCTTCTGTGTGACGAGGCCATGATTAGAGTCACGGAGGTCCAACGAGTTCGTCAGCTGAGGTCCTGACCYGCTTGTGCTTGTGGAGTTAATGGGAAGTTCAGAGCAGAGTGAAGAGAGTGGCAGCAGGATGAGGAATGGCTCAGAGCCGTCTGCAGATTACRCGTCATGACTCACCACATCTGCATTTTTCTGCAGAAGAAACCCAATCCCCCTCAGGTTCCTCAGCACGCGGCTTTGCTCTCACCTCTATCGGATCAGATCAACTTTATTAATAACTCACAATCAACTGAAGGATTACATGCTGCCTGCAGCTTTAMGTCACATGGATTTAATTCAAGATGGCTGCCAGGGCCACAGCTCACAGATTTGTTAGTGTTGAGGATCACTTTCAGTTACTAMCACCAAATTATACCTCTGAATCTGACTGTCACTGATCTGTTCCAGGAGCACAAACTGTACCGCTTGGTTTTAGCATGTAGCATTTAGCTGGACTGATGACAGAATTGTCGATTTCCATCCATCCATCCATCCATCCATCCATCCATCCATCCATCCATTCATCCATCCATCCAGCCATCCATGATAATAACTTTTAGTTAAAAGAATTATAAATCAAGAATATAAAAAAAACATTATTATTTTGTTTATTGTCTTGATTAAAGAAAATAAAATGTCTCTTTTGAGGGAGGTCTTCTGAGACCAGGGTCAAAGACAGGTGGAAATGTTAATTCCCCCTTGGGGTGACCCCTACATCCTCATCCCAGCTGCTTCACACTCAGCTGTGAACYGCTCCAGTGAGAGCTGGAGATCAGGATCTGATGAAGCCAACAGGACCACATCATCCACAAAAAGCARAGATGTGATCCTAAGGYCACYAWAAAGGATCCYCTCAWCACCTYGKCTGCTCCTAGAAATTCTGTCCAKAAAAGTTATGAACAGAATYGGTGACAAAGGRCARCCWTGGTGGAGTCCAWCTCTCACCRGAAAMCAGTCCGACTTAMTACTGGCAATGTGGACCAAGCTCTGGTACCGGTCCTACAGGGACCTAACAGCCTGTATCAAAAGGCTTGGTACCCTATACTCCCRGAGTACCCCACTTAGCAAACTCCAATGCACCCTCCAGGACCCTGCTGAGKGTGAAGAGCTGGTCTGCTGTTCCACGACCAGGACCAAAACCACACTGCTCTTCMTGAATCTGAGATTAGACTATCCGACGGACCCTMCTCTCCAGSACCCCTGAATAGACCTTACCAGGGAGGCTCAGAATTGTGATCCCCCTATAGTTGGAACACACTCYGTGGTTCCCCTTTTTAAATAGCGGGACCACCACCCTGGTCTGCCAATCCAGGGGAACTGCCCCCGATGTCCACGAGATATTGTAGAGTCTCGTCAACCAACACAACCCCACAACAACCAGAACCTTAAGCAACTCCGGGTGAATCTYCTCCACCCCCGGTGCCCTGCCACTGAGGAGCTTTTTAACCACCWCGGTGACCTCGGCACCAGAGATTGGAGAGTCCGACCCAGGGTCCTCAGGTTCTGCTTCCTCATGGGAAGACATGCTGGTGGGATTGAGGAGGTCTTCGAAGTATTCCGCCCAACGACAACATCCAGAGTTGAAGTCAGCAGCATGTTGGCTGAGTTTCAGCCACTGTGGTTTAGTTTTATATACTAATGGTTTGAACTTAAATAAAAGCTTAAAATGTGTGATTTTTATCAACTCCTGAGACTTTTTGCAACATTGTATTTCTTATTTAGCAACACAGACGTGTGAAAACATTATTTCCCTGAGCTCACACTTTGTGTTTGGTAAAAYGTCTGTCGCCTCAGTGATTAGAAACCAATTTAATGCTGATATATAAGCAGGAGCCCAGGTCTCTCCTGCATAACTAAATGTTTTTAGTTCTTTATTTAAAAAAAACCACAGTGACCAGAGTGGGATTAGGATTTCCTTCACAGCTCGGGCTCAGTCTTAACGAGGAAGCAGGCGAGTGACGAGGGTAACAATAAGGGATCGATAAAGGTTGGAGGAGTAACCTTTGCGTTTTATCAGGCTGACGCCGCGGCGAGACCAGGCGAGCCACTTGGAGGCTGCAGCACACAGATAGAAGCGGGTAGTTGTCAGATCGTGAGTTAAGTGGAGGTATGGATCAGAGACGCAGGGAAAGAGACACCCTGCGGCAAATGAATCATGCCGGATCAATGGAGCTTAGACTGGTTTAAAAACAGAGTCRTCGCCGCAGTGTGCTCATTAAGCATGGATCAGGCTTTAATCACCCAACATTTAGCYATCATGTTTTCCTCCTCTACACTGTCTTAACTCTGCATGTTTTCAATTTCCACGTCTCATCCTCGCTCAGCTCAGCTCAGGTCTGAGAGGACARGTGGCTCAGAGAAATTCGTCCAACTCCAACCGGAAAGTGTTATTCTCAGAGGCCTTCTACCAAAATGTCATCACCGTCCTCCAGATCTGGAACATGTTCTGAAAGGTCACAGCTTCAACTTTGGGTTCTGGACACAAACAAAGGCCTAACATTCCTGAAGGAATGCCTGTCACCCACTTCCTGTCATGTCAGAGTTTCAGAATAAAATCATCTTAAAGTTAAGTTGTTTAAATGAAACCTKGAATGTAACTTTTTGTAGATTCATCACTTTATATCACAAGATGTCATGCTCAACTACTACCACAGCTAATTTTACCTCTGAGTCTTTGAAACTGACACAGCTGTGGCCTTTTTTCAGTGTTTTAATGGACAGTTGTGGCAGCCATCTTGAACTGAGTTAAAGTTTAGGATTTTCAGAAGCACATCCACAAGTTTTATTCTTAAAGCATTTAAAGCATTCACACATAGTTTATAAATAGGTTATTAATTTGTCTGTAAGGACRATAAATCAAATTAGCACAAGGAGCACTAGTTTGCTGAACTAGGCAGAAAGAAGCTGAAACAGCCACCAAAATGTGAGATTAGCCTAAAAATAGTACCTAAAATTAGCAAAAATTGCTGCAAAAAGCCAAATAAAGCAGAAAGCAACTGTAAGAAGCAGAAATAGCTCAAATTACCAAAAAAAGAAGCACAAAAAGAAGAAACTAGCAAAAAATTAGCAGAAAGAAGCAGAATTATAGCTGAAATAGCAGAAAAAATGCTCGAATTAGCAAAATAGAAGCTAAAATATAGACAAGCTAAAAAAAAAGCAGAACCAGAACAAAAAGTGCAATGAGCTGCAAAGATTTATAAACATTTTGAAGGGCAAAATTTAGCTCCATTMATTTTTAATGGCAAAAAATGTGGCTGAAAAAGTATAATGTACCACTTTACAATAAGGCTTCCTTTATAGATGGCTTATAAATAGTTTATAGATAAGTTATTAATTAATCTGTAAAGACTTTATAAATCATTATTAAGTGTTTATTATCCATCAATTAAGGACAAGAAAGAGACAAAACTGTCTGGTTTCTTGCCAAATATTGAGCCTAATCTGTTGATATATTAAACATTTGTTTCTACCTTGTAAGCAAAATAATGATTTTACATACAGTATAATATTGTGTTAAACATACCCACAACAATCAGAGGGAGTCTTATTGTAAAGTGTAAGACTGTAGGTACAGTATTTGTCAATGAAATATAAACATGTACACATGTCATAAAGAAGCCTTATAAACAGTGTACTGTTTTATACTTCACAATAAGGCTCCTTTATGACATTTATACATGTTTATTAGTCATGGTAAATGTAAATGGGCTGTACTTATATACAGTAGCACCTTTCTAACCAGGATACTCGGAGCTCTTTACACTAAAATCKGTGTCCCGTTTACCCGTTCAGCACTTTATTACCTTTATACAAAGATGTACAAATCATTTATRTTCTTTTGACTATTCTTCTATATTCTACTTTTTTGTGCTTCTTTAGGTATTTTAAGCTTTTTCTGCTTCTTAAAGTTGCTTTCTGCTATATTCAGCTATTTGCAGCAGTTTTTGCTAATATTAATTTTTAGCGAAATTAACTTTTTTAGGCTAACCTCAAATTTTGGTGGCTGTTTCGGCTTCTTTCTGCTTAGTTCAGTAAACTTTTGCTCCTTACGCTTCCTTGTGCTGATTTAAGATTTGCTTGCTACCTTTTAGCCACTTTATTGCACATTTTGGCTGTTTAAGCTATTTTACAACAAATTGTTACTATTTTGTACTTCTATACTTTTTTCTGCTAATTTGACTTGTGGCTGATACCTTTACCTATTTTTTATGCTAATTTCAACTATTATTCTTCTCCTTTTGGCTTCTGCTAGGCTCTACGTTTYATGCTTTTTTCAACTTTTTAAATTTAACTTGCATAAACAGTTTTGCCATAAAACATTTTCAGCAGCTTTCAGCTGAAGTTTTCAGCAAACTGTGGTCACACTACCATTTCTGCACGAAATCTAGTTTCATTTAGTTACCAGTAAAGACAAGTATCAAACTAAGATCAAATAAAGCCACATTTCTCCACCTTCACCTCAGGGAAATAATATATATTTAAAATAAATGAATCATGTTTAGATAATAAAGACAACTCTCTATTTACCATAAAACCCTGACAGCTGACGTTCAGCGTTAGCCTCTCAGAGCCACATCAGATTATAATTATGGAGCTTCTGTCTGACAAAGCTCAGACTCGTGCAGATATCAGGGGGGACGGGGGGCTCCAGGTAATGAATGGAACGATGAGCGAGTCCACGCCAACGTTGAGAAAGTGCTGCCTGTTTATTGGTGCTTAATGAAAAACCATTTATCTAAATCAGCAGCAGGGAGAGTTCCTGCTTAGAGCTCAGGGAGGTGGGCTGGTCTTTCTGTCAGAGACAAATCTGCTGCTGTTCTTTCAATCCAAATGAAACAAACGACAGAAAAATAAACAAATAAATAAATAAATAAATAAATGGAAAGAAGCCAGCGTTCCACCACAGAAAAGACAGGAAACAACTGCAGCACAGGTTTTTACTGACAAAAACATTTTACTTTGAATTGGAAAGAAACAGAAAACCTTCTTAAACTCACCTCTGAATCACATTCTTCAAAATAAACCACGTTTACTTTCTGCAGCTTTTTCTAATTTTGTTTTTTATTCAAGTCCAAATTCCTGTGACCATTTTATTTGCTTCCACAAAGACTCTAAATGTCATTAAGTGAACAAATATCTGGGCTGAAAATTCTCCTTCTGTTCTGACTTCAGCAGAAACAGTCGAGCGTGAAATTAGAGCTTGGAAGCCTGCAGAGCCGCTAAAGCTGAGATGAAAATATGCACTGAAACAGGAAGTGAAGAACACACTGTATGTGTGGAGTCATGTCCAGCTGTGGCCTTTAAGGGTTAGGGTTAACCCTCACCGCTGCTTAAATGAATCAGGAGGAGTTCTTCTTCTTCTTGGACTGGTGACCTACAATGGAGGATCCTTCATGGCACCATTGCTACAAACTCGTTTTTATCAGTCATCAGTYGTGGGGTTTTAAATGAGTGTCCGTTTTGCAGTTTGTCCGAGAGTGTTTTTCACATTTTTATGGATTGTACACGTTTGACTGGTCTTTTAATTTTTTTAGTGAGATTTTTTTAGCCTTTTTAGCATGGTTTTTACTAGTTCTATTTTCTTGTACGGTGTGCCTTACAGTCGAGCCACGAGTTTTAAATCCCGCCTTTTAAATTATTTAATTGCAGAAGCAAAAATGGCAATTTATGGTAAAACACGACGTGACAAGTTGCAGGATGGACCTCAGCTTGATGCAGTGGCTCTGTGGAAATGTAATGTCAAGGCCAGGTTGAGGTTAGAGTTTTGCTTCCACAGAGCCACTGGAGATCTAAATAGCTTCTTGAAATTGTGGGGTTTCAATAATGCATTGTGCAACATTTCTGAAGAAAAAGAATTCGTTTTTAACAAACTGCTAGTGTAAATATGTTTTGGTTGTTTTGTGTTGTTTTTTTGTTTTTGTTTCTGTTTTCCTGTTTGTGTATCTAATTGTGTAAAGGCTGTATTTGTCTTTTGACAAAATAATTGTTAATAAATGTTTTTGTAAAATCTTCTTCTTCTTCTTCTTCTTCTTCTTCTTTTTCTTCTTCTTCTTCTTCTTCTTCTTCTTCTTCTTCTTCTTCTTTTGAATTAATGGCGGATCATAATCAACTTTTAGGTGCATACCGCCACCTACTG